CCCCAACCCCCCCCCCCCCCCCCCCCCCCCACCCCCGCGGTTTTCTTCGCTAGAAATTCTCCATCGGCTTTCTCTTCTCCCGTCCCGCCAATCCTCTTTTCCCATTTCCCACTCAAATTCGCCTCCGACAGCTTACGATACTGTATCATCCGTTGAAGGAGCTCAACAAACTAATCCAGCGCTATGGAAACGTGTTTAGGGGAAAATCCTGCTCCCCGGAAGTCAGATGTTGTATCTATATGCCGATGATGACGAGGACGACAGACCAGCTTCTGAATCAATCAGTAGTTTTAGTACTAGTATGCTGTGTCACGTATGTATGTCTTCGACTCTGTCGGCCGTTGTTGCGTACTGCTTGCTGTCCGCCCTCTTCATCTCATTCGGTTTCATGAACATGGGCTTATTATCAGATCCCGAGGATAATCAAGTATTGAATAGTTTGAGTGAAAGGATTATAAAACTTTTTTTTTCTTCTTTCTTATTCTTTCATTCATCATGAAGGAAATCAGCCCTCCGTGTCATGAGGTAATTTGATAGGCGCTTTCTGCCAGTCAAGCGATCATCATCATCATTATCATCATCACTTCATCAACGACTTTTGCTTCAGGGAGAAAGTGCTTCATCAAGCAAAGAAAAAGTGTTGAACTTTTGTGTTCCCCCAGGATCCCCATTTAAAAAGAGCAAACATAGCCATCCGTTCCATCCAGTCCTGTATACCATCCCGTAAACAACCACTCTCTCATAGTAGTGGTCGTCATAAGTACATTTCGCCATTTTTTGTAAACTCAAAGAAAAAATCGCAAAGTTGATTTATGCGAGAAGGGTATCAATCATAACCATCCATCTTCTGTTACGAAGTGTTTCGAGGTATTTAGGTTTGGAAAAGTTTGGCGACTTTAGTGGTGGAACAGACGAGTGTTCTGCTCGACGAAGGTGATGCCAAGCTTCTCGGCGGTCTCGAAGACAGGACTGTCGTTCTGGCTGCCACTGGGGGCGGCAATGTACTTGACGCCGGAGCGCGCGGCGCGATAGACATTGTCAACGAAGGGGAACTAATACAGTTGTGTTAATAATGGTAGCGACTGGCAGTCAACAGAAGGGGGTGAACTTACGAAAGCGTCAGAAGAGATGCAGACATCAGTGAGCTTGGACAGCCATTCGTTCTTCTCCTGCTCGGTGAAGGCAGCGGGCACCTCCTCGAAGAGAGCTTCGAACGACTCGCGCTCAGGACCATCCTTAGGGAGCTGACCGCTGACGAGAAGGTCGATGGCATTGCTCTTGTCGGGGCGCTTGGCACCCTTCTTCCACTTGATGCCAATGACGCGGGGGTTGAAGCGCAACCACCAGTTGTCAGCCTTGTCGCCAGCAAGGCGAGTGCAGTGGATTCTGGACTGCTGACCGGCACCCAAACCGACTACCTGGCCTCTAGCAGCGTAGCAGACTGAGTTGCTCTGGGTGTACTTGGCGGCAATGGTGGCGATGGTGAGATCGCGCTGCGCGTTCTCGGGGAGAGTGCCATCCTTGGGGGTGATGATGTTAGAGAAGGTCTCAGGGGAGATCTCAACGTCGTTGCGGCCCTGGGCGAGGGTGATACCGAAGACAGTGCGAGTCTCGCTCTTGCTGGGCTCAAACTCAGGGTCAACCTGGAGCATGAGGTAACGGCCACCCTTCTTCTTCTTGAGGATCTCAGCGGCGGCGGGCTCGAAGCCGGGCGCGATGACACCATCCGAAACCTCCTTGCTAATGATGGTAGCGGTAGGAACATCGACAACGTCGCTGAGGGCAATCATGTCACCGAAGCTGCTCATGCGATCGGCACCGCGGGCGCGGGCGTAGGCCTGGGCGAGGCCAGAGGTCTCGATACCCGGGATATCATCGACCATGTAGACCTTGCGCTCATCGGCGGTCAACTCAAGGCCAATGGCAGCACCGGCGGGAGAGACGTGCTTGAAGCTGGCAGCGGCGGGCTTCCCGAGAGCCTTCTTGAGCTCCTTGACAAGGGGCCAGGCGTTGAAAGCATCGAGAAGGTTGATGTAGCCGGGAGCACCATTGACAACGGTGAAGGGAAGCTTGCCCTCCTTGACGTAGGCAGCAGCAGGCTTCTGGTGAGGGTTGGCACCGTAGCGGAGGGGAAGGTGCTGGAGGCCATGGCCAGCATACTGCTTGCGGAAGAAATCGGAAATGGCAGCATCGTAGTCGGCGGTGTGCTCGAAGGCCTTGAGGGCATAGAGTTGACGGCTGGAGTCCTTGATCTCGCCAGACTCGAGCTCCTTGAGGAACTCGGCGTAGTCGTTGGGGTCGCTCAGGATGGTAACACGAGCGTGGTTCTTGGCGGCGGCGCGGATAAGAGTGACACCGCCAATATCGATTTCCTCAACGGCCTCGGGGACGGTGACGTTGATCTTGGCCACGGTATCCTTGAAGGGGTAGAGGTTGCAGATGACATAGTCAACCTTCTCAATGTTCTGCTCAGCGAGGTCCTTCTCGTCCGAAGCGAGCTCGCGGGCGAGGATACCGGCGTGGACAGCAGGGTGAAGGGTCTTGACGCGACCGCCCAGCATCTCGGGGGCCTTGGTGATGGCCGAGATATCCCTAATACGTAGGAAAAAAAGAGCTGTCAGCGCGCTGTCGCCCATGCGTCCAGATCACATCACCAAAGGCAAACGGGTTCGAGAATAGGGATCCTTACTCGACAGGGAAGCCAGACTCCCTGATCATCTTGGCGGTACCGCCAGAGGCGAGGATGCGGACATTGTGCTGGACGAGGCCCTTGGCCAGGTCGAGAAGGCCGGTCTTGTCGTAGACCGACACAATGGCGATTCTCTGGTTGGCAGCCATTGCGAACCACTTTCTTGCGACCGAGGTGATGGCAGGGGGGATTGGTGGTCGGGAAAGGCGGAGGAGGGCTTGTCTGAGGTAGAACAGCGTGATCGTTGCTACTGCTGGTGTTGCAAAACGACAAGGAAAAGAGGGGAGAGGGAGCTTAAGAAGTGGCAGGGCGTCTGGAATTTCAAGTCGACAGCACCTCGCCCGAGTACAGTCACAAGTGAAGATGGTGGAGAGGGCAGAGTGGGACTTGCGATCGCGACCCGTAGTTGCAAGTAGTGTACACTATAGGTAAGTCGATCACATCATGGAGGGGTCGGAAATAATTCTTCGTGCAAAGAACCCTTGGCGGGGTCGAATGGCTGCTACTACTGCGTGTAAGTGGGCGAGAAGGTCGGTTTCCCCCCCGAGTGGGTCCCATCAATGGATGCGCCGGGTTCGGGCGCTAGCCCCGCAGTCTGCTCAAGGACGCCCTAGCAAGCCTAGTACCTATTCGGGTACAGTTGGTTATCACAGAAGTGCAAATTGCCGCACTACCTGTACAAGAATTTTTGTTTCCACTTCTCCCGATTGATTCCCTTCTCAATTCCGGTGAACCGTCTTTTTCCTTGTTTCCTCTTTTGTTATTGTTGTCTTGCGCGAACGTTGTGTCAGGTGTGCTTCCAGCCGGCCGTTTCTCCTGCGCATCTCGAGAACAAGGCTCGTGCGTTTTGTATCTGGTTGTTTTCCAGCATTTTTTATTTTTGCATTTTTCCCTCGGCTGTGGTTTGTGCGCCCGACGATCAATTGCCCAGTGGACGCATGGCAGGTGCACCGGCGCCGATCGCCAGCTGCAGGTGTTAGGAGCGCGCTGTAGCGTGTGCAGTTTGCAGCACCTAGAGGGTTCTGAAACGGGGTTTATAGTGGCCAGGTTCTGCTTGCATTTTCGCCCTTCGGGGCAATTTGGTCAATGTAAGTTTGCCCGTCGGTTTCGTGGTCAAGCGGTATGATGTGATGCTAATAAAACAAACAGTTGAAACGATACAGAGAAGATTAGCATGGCCCCTGCACTAAGGATGACACGCTACTCAAAGAGACGCTACCAATTTTTTTGGTAAATTTTTGCTGATGCTGACCGGTCCCGTTTTTTCTCCTGCCATGTCCGTCAAGGTACCCAAAAATGATAAAAGATAGAGCTGGATTCCCAGACTATTCCGTAGACCAGGGTGAGGGAGGTAGAGGGTTCAAATCATATTAGTGGCACACTTTTAAGTGTTTTTCCTTGAAGCCTAAATCATCTACCAGCTTAACTGACGACACAAAGCTGTAGGAGCATCAGCCAAAGATTTAAATATGTCTCCGGATGCATCCCGAGCCTTTCACGCATAGTGTTGGTGATATCACGTCGATGTGTATAGACGCCACTGGTGATACTCTTCTGTGACCTTGAAAACGACAAGTCTATATTGTAAACATGTGTTCCTTAGCGCCCTGCTACGACCGACGAGCTGTGGCTAACCTCAAGTAGGCATGACTCACCACTAAGGTCTCACACAACAACGTTGCCGGTATCGGTGGAGATAAACTCGTTTGAATTTAGACACCACACAAATCACAAATCACACCAACTGGTCGTACACATCCCAGAAGTACCATCATGAATGCCATTCTACGATATATGTTGTTCATGTGTAGACATGCAAGAACTACATGCAGATATCAAATTTACATCATATGAACTACACTTCCAATGCCTTTTAACGTCCTGTTTCCCGAACCATAAACCATGCAATGTAACATAAGAGGACAACCAGTAACAAATGAGATACAATAAAGATACAACTGCTCGACGTCAACCTGGGATCAGATTAGCAGCAGCGGGCCACTTCATGCCTCAGGAGCAGTCTAAGCCTCAGCCTCAGCCTCCTCGGCAGCCGGAGGCTGCTCCTGCTGCTCCGCGTAGACATTCAGTCCGCTCCTGTCCTCCTTGATTTCCACCACCGCCTTATCGCCAGACTTGATCTGTCCACGAATAATCTTATCCGCAAGCCCATTTCCAATCTCGGTGGTGATGAGCCTGTTGAGCGGCCTCGCGCCAAACTTGGGATCATATCCCCTCTCAGCCAGCCACTGGCGGACCTCTTCGGGAACGTCGAGGGTGATGCGGCGATCGTTGAGTCGCTCCTGGAGCTCCTTCAGGCGGATGTCAACAATGTCCCTGAGCGCCTCCATAGCGAGACGCTTGAAGATGATAAAGGAGTCGATACGGTTAAGGAACTCGGGCGGGTACTGAGATGCGACGACGTCCATGACGGCCTGCTTGACGTCGGGGTGGATGTCGCCGTCTTCCGTCTCCTTGTAGGGGACCATGGGGTTGGCTCCGACCAGGATGTCGGCACCGAGGTTGGAGGTGAGCACGATGATGGTGTTCTTGAAGTCGACCTTGTGGCCCTGGGCGTCGGTCAGGTAGCCCTCGTCGAGGACCTGAAGGAGTAAGGCCGAGATGTCTCTGTGCGCCTTTTCGAACTCGTCGAGAAGGATGACGGCGTAGGGCTTGCGGCGGACGGCCTCGGTCAGCTGGCCGGCGTCTTCGTAGCCGACGTAGCCGGAGGGAGCACCGATCAGGCGCGAGATGGTGTGCTTTTCTTGGAACTCGCTCATGTCAAATCGAACGACGGCGGTCTCGGTCGAGAAAAGGAAGCCGCCGAGCTTCTTGCACAGCTCTGTCTTGCCGACGCCGGTGGGGCCGAGAAAGAAAAAGGAGGCCAGTGGGCGGTTCTCGCCGCTCAAGCCGGCTCTTTGCATTCGCACTGCGTCGGCAACCGCCTTCAGGGCCTCGTCTTGACCGCGGACAGACTCGCGGAGGATGTCTTCCATGTGAATCAGTCTCTCCGTGTGGCCGCTGGACAACTTGGAAATGGGAATGCCGGTAATTCTGGAGACGACGTTGGCAATGTCGTCAGCGGTGACCGAATCATGGATGAGAGAGAGATCACGGGTAGGTCTTTCGCCGTCCTTGGGTAGCTTCTTTTCCAGGTTTGGAATGACGCCAAATCTCAATTCCGAAGCCCTGGCAAAGTTTCCGGTTCGCTGTGCTTGCTCCAACTCAATGCGGGCTCTGTCAAGCTCTGCCTGGGTTTGCTTGATGCTGTCGATTTCGGCCTTTTCCTTCAGCCACCTTTCCGTCAGTACGGCGACTTCATCTTGGTACTTCTTCAGGTCAGCCTCGAGCTTCTCGCGGCGCTCGACGCTGGCAACGTCCTTCTCCTTTCGTAAACTTTCCAGCTCAATCTGAATGGTCATGATCTTCTGGTCCAACCGCTGGATATCGTCGGGCTTGCTTTCTTGCTGTAGGCGAAGCGAGCTGGCGGCTTCGTCCATCAAGTCGATGGCCTTATCGGGAAGGAAACGGTCGGTGATGTAACGGTTGGAATAAGTAGCGGCAGCAACCAGTGCTCCGTCAGTGATACGGACACCATGGTGAACTTCATACTTCTCCTTGATACCGCGCAGAATACTAATGGTATCCTCCACTGTCGGCTCGCTGACGATGATGGGCTGGAACCGGCGAGCGAGAGCAACATCCTTCTCGATCTGACGGTACTCAGTCATGGTGGTTGCACCACAGCACTGAAGCTCACCTCTAGAAAGAGCTGGCTTCAAGAGGTTCGACGCATCAATGGAGCCTTCGGCCTTTCCGAGACCAAGGAGAGTATGGAGCTCATCGATAAACAGGATAACCTCTCCGTTGGCTTCTTGCACTTCGCCCAGGACCTTCTTCAGCCGCTCCTCAAAATCACCCCTAAACTTGGCTCCTGCAATAAGAGATCCGAGATCGAGACTGATGACTCTCCTGTTTTTGATACTTTCAGGCACCGCGCCCTTCACAATCTCCAGCGCAAGGCCTTCAAGAATGGCTGTCTTGCCAACACCGGCGCATCCAATGAGCACCGGGTTGTTCTTCGTTCTCCGTGACAGGATTTGGATGGTTCTCTGGATTTCCGCCGCTCTGCCGATGACCGGATCGAGCTTTCCCTCTCGTGCTTTTGCTGTTAAGTCGATACCGTATTGTTCCAATGCTGGTTTCTCGTCCTCACCCCCGAGGTTCATGCGATGGGTACCGCCTGGGGGGCGTGGTCTGCCGTTGGCATACGATCGAGTCGTTATTGTGGGAAGAAGACGAAGAGAGCTGGTTAGATGAGTGGCATTGAGTGCCGGTACGGTTACGCCCAGCGCCGGTGCCCGGGGAAACTGGCGCGTGGTTCGTGAGAGAGAGGCCCTCGACGCCTCACTGATGCGCCGAGTGGCAGTCGCTAGCAATTGGCGCCTTGTTTGCATTTTAAGACTTGAGTATGTGTTTTATTTCAGAGGAACGACTAGTCTAAAATCAAACTTGAATCATTGTAGGGTAGTATGACACGAAGGTATGTCTCTGGTTTATATGGCCTGACGTAGTGCCACTGACCGTTGACATGGATGGAGGTCGAAAGCTCTCGCAACTTCCAGTGGCACTGACGCCGTGAAGCTGGGGAAGAGCTTACCTACATACAGTAATTTCCCCTGTTCGTGCATGTAATCCGGGACAGCACTTTGCATGCATTTAGAGGGACATATGCACGAGTAGGCTCGATGCCAAGATTTTTGGTCGCCCTAGGGTAGGAATTTACGGAGACATTAGGGAGTTAGTATAACTATTAGGCCTTAAAAGGTCCTTAAAAAAGGGCGCTAATAAATGCATACGCACCCATTTTAGCGGGCAGTTTTATATGTAAATAGTAGTTATGCAACTGCCCATACTAAATAATTGCGGCCAGCGATCTGTAAGCATTTAGAGGGTGTTATGCACGAGCAGGTGCATGCACGAGCAGGGGAAATTACTGTACAGTACTTAGCTCCTTATCTTATCGGAGCTTCCATGTAGACGTAGGTCCCGTCTTCATGATGGAGTCTTCGGTCAGTTCGGTGGGTTTCTGTGCCTGGTCTGTGCACTGTCTGTATTTAATGGCCAGGAAATTTTTTGTTGTGCGAAATTCTCCCCGTTTTGGTTCTTCGTGTGCAACCGCCGCGTTGAACAGCGCCATTGTGGGAGATATCAGAGAGAATGGCTCCAGATTGCTAAAAGCTGGCAATGCCAAAGATACACCGTGTCGGTGTCTGTCATTAGTGTAAGTTCTAGCACCTTGTTTGATATTCCCCTTCCCTACTCCTCCGTTACCGGTACTCCCACGCCCATCCCGTGATGATCGAATTGGTCCGTGTTACCAAGCAGACTTAAGACCTCTGCAGATGACGACGAAACCAGCATTTATGCGACTCTGACCCTTTTGGCATCTCATTCGATTTGGAATATTACTTCTTTTCGCGGCTCTTGAGCTAACTCATGGATCGTAGTTGTTGTATCTTTGCGCATGCCGAGTGCTTGTCCAATGGAGCAGCCCATCTGAAGTTGGAATTTGGCAACCCTACGGAGCCTAGTGTAGTCTTTCCTCGTCACCATTACCGATTGTCCGGTGCGTTATGGGCGGGTGCGAGTATCAAGGTGGTCCGAGAAGGTTGCTGGTTTCAACAGTTGATAGATTATATCGAGTCTGCTTAGCAATAGTTTATTGAATATTTCTTCAACTGTTCAAGGGCTTGATGCTAGTAACTTTTGGACGTAGGGTCATGTAGAATGTGTGCACCATGTGCGAAGGGACTCCGATTCTTCACATGTATCTCTGAACTGGTATCAGCTTCAGGAAATGAGACGTTCGTTTCAAAGGTACGGTGGCCTGTACTGCGGTCTTTGCCCATGAGAAGCATCACCCTTCAACTACCTCTGTACGTCTTGCTTTATGAATATCCCCATTCTTGTCGCCGACGTAAGTGATAAAGAATACATGCCCTGACTGCACGCATGCCTTGGGACACGCCGTATGCAGCTGGTTGAGAGGGAATGGGACGAAGAAAATGTTCGGATACATGTATTCTGCTTCGGGTTAGGGCTGTCCGAGGACTTTTGATGCCCACCCCGCGTTTAAGTGCAGTGCTTAGACCATCTTGTAGCGCCTATCCTGCCTAACAACGCTTGATATGCTAGTGGCCATAGAACGGTCTCACATCCAGACGGAACAACCTCAAACTTCACCCGCCTGGCTGTTCGAGAAAACGACGCGACTTGAGACGCGTCAGAAAATAGACAGAGTCTCAATAACTGTCACACTTTTCAGCTTCGAACTGTCCAAAAAGGCATTTAAGCCAAGTCGAAAACATGCCCATGTACGGTGACTTGGGTAACAAACTGGTTTGTGCAAGCTCACTGCATCCTCCCTGGATACGAACACTCACACCATCACCAGGTCCAGCATGCCAAGAGGACACAGAACCTGAGCCATCTTCCACCTTATCAGACCGAGCTTGTCCGTGCAGTGGCCCGAGAAATCCGGGATCTTGACAAAGACGTCGCCAGTTTACTTGAACCTTTCCAGGGGTCATTTGATCCTTCCGCCGAACAGGCCACCGCGTGCACGCTGCTGGTCAACCACCTTTCAATGCGGAGGAACAAGCGCTGTCTGCTCGCCTATCACCGAATCCGAACAGACAAGCTCGAGGAGCTGGTGTGGAATGGAGCCGATATCCTCGACCTTGCCGGCCAGACGACAGGAGGGCCCAAGGGCGTGACGGAGGGCAATGAAGGGGGCGGGACCACCAGCAGTCTTAGTCCCCAGGAAGAGGATTATTTTCGACAGTTTGGAGATTTGTTGGCCCTCTACAAAGGCCAATGGACGGATATCGATCTCACAGGCAGTCTCGAACCCCCACGAGACCTTTTTATCGACGTCCGAGTGTTGAAGGATGCGGGCGAGATCCAAACCGAATATGGGTAAGCTACGCTACAGATGGAGGAGTAGATGATGGCTTTGGTTCCAAGCTAACTAACGCATGTCTAAAGGGCGATCAACCTGACAAAGAACAGTCAGTTCTATGTCCGGCAAGGAGATGTGGAGCGTCTGATTGTGCAGGGATATTTGCAAAAGTTGGGTTGAACAAAATCGACCTGGCATCGATGATTTGAGGCCGGAGCTTGTTGCTGCAGACCAGCAATGGAAAACTGCTATCGGCAGCGGTTGCCGACAGGTTGACAGGCCCCTCGCTCTTTCCTGACCATTGACGGCGTGGCGCCTTCCGAACAGTACCGGAGAGGGAGTGACGGACTCAATGGCGTCGACCAGAAGCCATGTGCAATGGTTATTGATCAGCAGCTAGATGTTGGAGGGAGCGCAAAGGACCGACTCAAAAGGGTTGCGCCGTACACACAGAGCTGACCAGTCCTTGTACTACGATGACGGCCAAAGGTGACTTCAACCAAATATTTTGAGTCTATGTGGGGCAAGGAGTTACCATCTACTCTTTCTCAATGGCTGGACCGTCAATGAAGGTTTGAGAAGTGCTTGCATCGACAAGGGACCATGAGCCCACAACCAGACGGAAGCACAGTTTGTAAGTTGCGGGAAGGATGAGGGAAAGGTTACTTTGACGGCCAGACCATTGATTCAGGAACCCACACGGAATTGCCGCGGTGGACGATAGCGAACGTCGAGGCTGGAGTGACAGCCAGCAAGGGGTTTCACAAGGCCCTTCAAATTTTTTCACCAACCAGTGGCCAAGTTTTCTGGCATGGCAACACTGTGTTTGTGGCGGCTGATAACACCCTTTTTTCAGTATATTGTTTCGTTGATGGCAGATACTGAGAATCAACCCGAGTAAAGAGAAGAGGTACTGACTAGTCCTTGAATTGTCAAACTACAGCTAATAGGGCCCATCTGAAGAAGGCGATAAGAACAGTCATAGGGTTATGTAAACTTTTGACCGTTATTGCCGTGTGCTCGTTGTCAGTCTGTCACACGTGGAGCTGAATGATAGTTACTGGGGTGCAGCGTTCAATTTCAAAAAAGAGAAACCAATTCGCACTGGGAAGGCTGCTTGGTGGAACAAGGATTACATCATGCAGATGACGCCTTTCCCTTCCCACGGCCTCAACCCCACCATGGCCAGCTAGAAACAACAGGTCCAGGCCATCTAGCAACTGCTAGGTAGTATCATTGGCTTTCAACTGATCAATTGAGACCGTATCAGTTCTTGTTCAGTCTTCCTCCGGCGCTAGGTACGATAGACGCTACGACGCACGCCGGGACAACATGGAAAACCCCGAACCGTCGAAGCTTATGTACATACTAATCAGATATCCCTCCCTGTTGTAGGCTTAACGAAGTCTTTGCAGGCGGGGCCAAAGAGTTCCAGCCGGATGCAGCATGGCGCGGTCGGTGCTTCTTGTATGTTGCTGTCGACAAGATTGCTCCATAGAATTTTGCTTCTAACCACCGGCCTGCACTCCTCGAATCGCCTCCAGCTGAGGACGGACCTTCTACGATAGCTCGGCCTGTCGTTATTTCTATTTTTTTTATCATTCATTTTTCCCTCCAACTTATCCGAGGATATTTGTCACGTTTTCTTCTCTTCGCGGACATCTACATGGTCACATCAGGTGCTGCCTTTTTATTTTTCTACATATCTTGAATTCTTTTTCTTACTTTCCTTCCCGTCCTTCCGCTCTCCAGCCACAGGACATTGCTTTTCTGCACTGACGTGCTTCTTTACTCGCTTCCGCATCATATAATCCAGTCTGCATAACAGTTCAGCTGGCAAGCCAGGCATCAGGTTGCTCGGTGCTTGTCAACTCCCCCGCGTACAGTCAGTGACGGCATCTTGCACCTCTCCCACTTGTCACCCCGGAATTCTCGAAACGACCCGGCGGATGCTCAACTGCCCTTGCCGCTCTGGCAAACCTGGCATACATACCTATCTGGCACCGGCCTATCGCATACCTATACCGATAGCAGCCTGTAGGTTGTTGCGTCTCTTTGCGACCTTCCATGTCGTCTCCAGCTGTTGGCTTCTCCTCATGGAGGAGATCTCCCAGACGGTCTTCCTCCGTTTCGCAGTATGCTTCGGCCCAGGAGGAAATAGAGTCTTCGAGTCCCTCCAAAACCATCCCAACTCGGCCCTGCCAGGATCCTACCAGCAATGAGGCCCATCAGCTATATTCAACTTCGGTGAATTCAGTTGCGCACCGCGAACCTTTGAGGTCCTTCATTCATGGCTCGGTCCGTGAAAATCTAGGTATGACTATAACTCCCTCCCCCTCTCCCAACTGATAACTATCCTTCTTGGTTGATATGCCGCTGACTTGTGCTTGATCATCTCTTCACAGCTCCTCTAGACAGTTACCAATACGCACAATCCGTTCGCCAGGATACCGCCGAGCTAGCGAACTATTTTCTCTCCGACCCAAAAGACCGACAAAGCCCAGCGTTCCTTGATCGAAGACGATCCTCTATCTCGCAACAAACAGTTCTCGGCCACATAGCTCAGGCCACTGGCACCGAAGATGCCGAAGAGGGTGATGGTAGGTACCAGGACGCCCTCAACGTAAACGTATCTGAGCCCCTATCGCCAGAAACCGATGTCGAATCAACAACCGAGGGACCATCTATGCTCACCACAATGCTGAAGAGATCGCCACCGAGTACGATATATATGCCGGCTTCACGTGGCGATGAGGGCTACGAAGAAGATAATTCGTGGGAGAATGGTGAGAGCAGCAGGAGAGGGTCATGGAAACACCCGGAACTAGTCCAACCAACCGAGCGGGAGGCAGAGGCAGCCGATACTTCAGACGAGCACGCACCGTTGCTTCGGACCACATCACGCGAGGCCCGGCATGATTATGGTATGGTCAACGGCTCCGGCCACGATGCTGATATCGAAGATCAAAAGAGTCCGAAACGGCGATGGACGACAAGGCTTGCCGCTTCCGCGAGGGATAGATGGGATCACATTGCCAGTTTTGCCAAGGTGGCAGCAACCCCAAAGCGCTGGGACCGCCACGCTCTCTGGAAGAACGTTATCGTTACACCTGTCCAATGTTTACCAGCCGTCATTGTGGGACTCCTGTTAAACATCCTTGACGCGCTTTCGTACGGCATGATTCTTTTCCCTTTAGCAAATCCAATTTTTTCGAGCTTGGGGTCCGCCGGTATCTCGATCTTCTACATCAGCACAATCATATCACAGTTGACATTCTCCCTTGGGAGCGTGTTCAAGGGTGGTGTTGGCTCCGAGTTGGTGAGTAGTCTTGTGTCTAATATCTCTGACCGTCCATTCATACTAACAGCATCAAAGATCGAGGTTGTGCCCTTCTTCCACAGTATGGCTGGTACCATTACCGAAATTGTCGGCGAAGATGACCCAGAAGCGGTCATCGCAACGACCATCACATCTTATGCGCTAAGCTCGATGCTCACGGGCACCGTTTTCTACCTTATGGGCAAATTCAAGTTTGGCTATCTCGTGGGTTTCATCCCGCGTCATATCCTGATTGGCTGTATCGGTGGTGTCGGTTGGTTCTTGATCGCCACGGGCTTCGAGGTGACGGCTCGCATGGATGGCAGTCTAAATTACGATCTCGACACCCTGAAGCGACTTATTCAGCCAGACACTATCCCACTATGGACGGTACCTCTCGCTTTGGCGATCATTCTGTTCTACGGCCAAACGAAGATCACGTCCAAGTATTTCCTTCCTCTCTATATCCTCACCATACCTGCCTTGTTCTACTTGGTATTACTCATCTTGGGCGGCCCTGACCAAGACACTCTGCAAAAACATGGCTGGGTGTTTGAGGGGCCTCCGCCCGGTGAGCCATGGTGGTATTTTTATACTCTGTACAGTAAGCATCCCAGCTGCTCCATGGGGGATATAAACATTGCTAACTTCTTCCACAGAGTTTCACAAAGTCGATTGGAGTGCCATTATGCAATGTATCCCCGCAATGTTTGCCCTGACCTTCTTTGGTATCTTACATGTGCCTATCAACGTTCCAGCTTTGGCACAGAACATCGGCGAAGATCATGCCGACCTCGATCATGAGCTCAAGCTACATGGCTACTCAAACTTCCTGTCAGGCTGTTTTGGAAGCATTCAGAACTACCTGGTTTATGCCAACAGCGTCTTTTTCATGCGCTCAGGGGGTAACACTCGACTGGCGGGTATTATGCTTGCAGTTCTTACTTTCCTCGTAATGATGATCGGTCCTTCCCTGATTGGCTTCATACCGGTCATGATGGTTGGAGTGCTCATCTTCGACCTTGGCTTCGAACTGCTTATTGAGGCTGTTTGGCAACCAAGGAAAAAGTTGAAGTGGCTTGAATACATGACTGTGCTTGTCATTGTCGTGGTCATGGGCACATATGACTTCGTCATTGGTATCGGAGTTGGCATTCTTTGCGCATTTGCCGCTCTCATTATCCAAACATCCAGAATTTCGGCTGTAAGGGCAATCTACTCCGGGGAGGTGGTGGGGTCGACGGTGAGAAGAAATCCGACGCAACAACATTACCTTAGAGACGCTGGAAAGCAAGTCAACATCATCAAGCTTGCCGGTTATCTCTTCTTTGGAACTATTGTGAGCGTGGAGGAAAAAATCAGGGCTATGATTTCCGATGAAGAGTTCAGCCATCGCCCAATTCGGTTCCTCATCATCGATCTGTGGCTGGTCAACGGTGTCGATTATTCCGCCGGAGAGGTGTTTAACACTATCAGCCGCCTGCTCAATCACAAGGGCATCGAGCTGATTATCAGCGGTGTTGACACCGAACAAGAACTGGGTCGTCACCTAAGAGCAGCCGGTCTCGGTGAAGATGGGATTGACGTCAAGCTCCTCCCTGAGCTGAACTCGGCCTTGGAATACTGTGAGAACGAGCTTCTCAAGACACTGTATGCCAGTCAAGAAGCAGGTCGTCTTCCGCGGACAGCAGCTTCTGTACCTTCCAGCAGCTTGCAAGTGCCCTCTACCCAATCATCCATACAGCCTCAGTTCGACTCCCTGGGATCTTCTCCCCGTCGCAGCCACCTCCAGGTAGCAGCTCGTCATGCACTCAACCAGCAAGCTGAGCAGCAACGAGGGTCAACAAGATGGCAAAGCTTTAAGGAGCCGCTACGGCTGATGCTCCAGATTTTCCAGGACGTCAGCAACAAAAACGAGGATTTCTGGTTCCGTGCCGTAGGTTACTTCAAAAGACTCCAATATCCTGCGGGAACTGTCATTTTCCGGCGCGGGGAGCAGGCAGAAGGATTTTATCTGCTCGAGCAAGGTATGCTCAGAGCCGAATACGATCTGCCACAGGGGCGGCTTTGTGAAAGCATCGTGGCCGGAACGACGTGCGGAGAATTGCCGTTCTTCTCGGAGACGACGAGAACGGCGACGTGTGTGGTCGAGCGCGACTGTGTGCTGTGGATGATGGACCGGGAAGGATGGGAGAAGCTGCAAAAGGAGCAACCGGATGTGGCGATGGAGCTGTTGAGGATAGGGTTGAAATTGACGAGTGAACGGATGAGTGTCTTCACGAGTTATACGCTGACTATGGCTGGTTGAGTATGCTTTTGATGTAGGGGGCACATGGGCATGGGAACATACAAGTAGCTACGTAATATGTAACATAGATCATCACATAAGTCTGCGAATATCAGTTATGTCAGAGCTGGTGATAATGATAGCTCGAATTAGTTTACATATGTTGTATATGCACTAGAAAACCAGTCTCTCTCATATTGCCAACGACCATGCCGCATGTGTAGCTCTCAACTGGGAACTGTGATCAACGGTAATGATGTCGCGTAGTGAGCGAAGGAATCCAGATGCAAGCGAAGGGGAAAAAAAGAACTTTCCTTTCATAGCACAGAGCATCAATAGACCAGAAGTTTCAAGTCACACCCCATTCAGATCCCCTAATCCAGTCGTGCGCTGATCATTTCATTCAATCATCACCACCATCCTCCTCACCCGCATCCTTATTCTTGCTCTTCCTGAACCGCTCCTTGCCAGTAGCAAAGAAAGCCTCAACAATCCTTCCATCAAATGCCCGTCCATGCATCAAATGCACGCACGCCTCTGCCGCCTCCACTGTCGCGAACTTGACGCTCACAATGCCTTCCTCTTCCTCATCAAACAGCACCACGTTAGTCACGGGCCCCAGCTTGGCACATTCCTCCCGGATGTCGTCTTTGATCTCCAGCAGAGCGGCCGGGTCCTCGTTGAGCTCCTCCAGCGTGAACATGTGTCGCAGGATCACGACCTTGTCCCACTTGCCTCCCTTTGCTTCCTTGATCGCGGGCCCCAGAAGGCGGGCAGAAGGGGAGGGCTCGTCGTCGTCCCAGTCGGCGAGCTTGGCGGAGAGCTTTTGAGTCTTTTTGATGATTTTGGCTTTGTCTTGTTGGCTGCGTTGGTTATGACCGTTACCGCCACCGTCGCTGGAAACGGGGTTGGGGTTGGTGATGTTGTTGTAGGGGGTCGAAGAGGACGAGCCTTCCCCCTCTGCGCCACCGTTGCCTGCCTTGTCACCACCGCCGTTCTCCGCGCCTGCTGCTGCGTCGTATTTGGTCTTTTTGTAGCTCATATCCGCCGCCTGGACGCGCATTCTGCTGCCATCCGGAGCAGGCTCAAAGCGGAAGTCGGTGTCATCCAGGAGCATAATGGCCATCTCGACCGACTGCGGCTTGAAGAAGACGATCAAGGCGTCGCCTTTGAAGTTTCCGTTGGCGTCCGTGTACATCTTGATGCGCGGGCGGCCGCTGTCGATCTCCTCGGCAATGACGCCGCATTTGCGCGAGAAGAGCTCGGCGACCTCGTCAGCCGTCGCATCGAGCGGAAGACCAGTCACGTAGACGGCTGTGTTTTGCTTGGGCTCCCGTGGCGCCTTCTCCCGCTTCCGGTTCTTCGATGGACGGTTGTTTATGTTGTGGTTACTGCTGGCGGAGTCCTGTAGGCGTGCGCGCAACGAGGGAAAGAAAGAAAACGTCTGGTTAGTGTCTTCCCCAGGATTTTTTTTTTTTTTTTCTCTCGTCCTGTCCGTCCTCACACCCACATCACAAGGAACACCACACATAAAATCATTCATGTTCATGAACTCCTGGGGCACAGCGATGTCTCTTCTCTCTCGCTCTCTCCCTTTCACGGTTGTTTCGAAAGTATCAAAATGGGACGAAAAGGGAATGATTGGATCAATGTTTTCAAAGAAGGATGAGTGAGTGTTGAAGATGGTGGCAGTAGCGGACGTTGACAGGTGCGCATTCGAGCGCAGCTTACCTCTCGGTCGTCGTTCTTTCTCTTCTTGCCTTGTCCTGTGCCTAATTGGCCTGTCTCTGTACCGTCGTCTCCGAGTGATGTTATGTATGCCCTCTGGTGTTCCTCGATTAGGGCTTCGTCGATGATGGGAAGCCAGCGCTTGAGGCCCTCGTCGAACTCGTATTCGGTGCCATCGTCTTGAACCGCGATGTATTTGTTGTCGAGCTTAGAGAAGGAGATGCGCTCGTCCTTGTCAAACTCTCCGGGGTCGGTCGGAAATGTCCAGTACTCGGCTTGTTGTCCTTCTTGTTGTTCCATGTCGCTTGCTTGAAGATGCGCCAGATGGAAGCCTGTGTGTTGTTTAGAGCTCTAATGGCTGCGTTCGGTTGTTGAAGGCGCGAGTTGGGTAATTCCAGATGACGTTGAAGGCGGAAAATGCAGCCCTGTCTTCGAACACCCGTTGAAGGTTCCATCCCTTGGTGACGCGGAACCTGCTGTGGGGCCCTTTTACATGGTAGTCGTGGGTACGTAACTTACGCGGCTTTGGGACTCCGTGACAGTCGCTAGGGCCACTATGACTTGGCCACTATACGTTAACAAGCACGCCCTCAGTATTTACAACAGCACAGAGCACAGGAAGAAGTATAGGAGATGGAACCGGCGTGCATACTTTGGGAGACTTCTTCTTTACGCCCGATTGACTTTCAACTCTCCAGGTTTGGGCATGTACGAGTGCTTGTTAGTGCGGTCAAGATCTGTGGTACAGAACTCCATTTTTGATCAAGCTTCGGACGCAAGCCTTCCTACATTTACAGGGCCTACTGATCCTCGGTATCAATCCGAATCTCCTGTATGTCGTGTCCTCATCTTGAATGCTCTATCAAGATCTGAAGTCCTTTACTTCTTCTGGATTGTCTTTTTCACTCCTTCCACAAAGGCCTCGACGGCATCTCCGCCACCTAGAGGCACCGTACCGCCCCTGACCATACCACCATTTTCCACTTGGATCCCCAACGCAGCAGAAATGTTGGGGAGTCCTCCATCCCGAAGAGCAATTGTCAGGCTGGCAAGGCTCTGGGTAAACTGAGGGCTCCGGAGAACCTTCTTCAGAAGCGCGCGCTTCTGATCCTGGCTCATAGCCTGCCGAGCGGCCTCAACAGACGCGGCACTAGGCTCAACCTCGATGGCATCAGTACCGCTGGCACCTTGCTGAGACATGACAATGACGGTTGGGGGTAGGTAGTTCAAGAGGTTGTCGACATATTCGTCGGTGGCGGAATCGAGCATCGGGATCGTGACTGAGGATTCAAGAAGATCGTTGAGTAAAGGGTAGGATTTGCCTTGAGCTTGGGCTTGACCTCCGGCAAGCCCTTGGGTGCCTTTCAGGGACTCGAGGAAGTTCCGTACAACGGCAGCCGCATCCGCCTCGGCATTCGTAGCATTTGCCCTGTCAACGAGAACTATATTAGCACATGTAATGGCATTGGAGACGCAATTTTGCGGAAAGCAGAGGGACGCCATGTGCATGTCAAATTTTAGTGCCTCCATCTAGCAAGTAACAATACAGTTGCACCGTTCTTGTTGCCCTCTGCGCCATAGCTTGCTCATGTTTGGTTGAAGTAGATCAAATGATGTGCGCGCCAAAGCAACCCAAACTCCCAAAACTCATGTGACGGGAAAACAGCACCTACGCTCTTGCTCCATCTGCTCCTCCTTCTCTGGCGTCCTCGCCCTCCCTCCTGACATCACCACCAGTGGCATCAGGACCAGCGCCGCCAGTACCGCCCTCGTGGTGGGCATTGGGGTCTCCGTGGCCCTCAACGTCTTCCATTGTCTCGTCGTCATCATCGTCTCGGCGGTTGTTACCACCGCCGCTGCTGAGTGAAGCAAGCTCCCTGTTCACATCCACCTCGTAGCCCTGTAGAAGCTTATCCACGATCTCTCCAATCTTCAGATCTCTTGGGCTCAGGAAAGACGGGTCGCCGTTAGGACCCTGAGGCTTCGATTGCAGCCAGAAGATATGGCGCTGTGACGAGGAAGAGAACTTGAGCGAGAAAATACGGCCGTTGGTCTTGGCGGAGGCCTGGGCAGGAGACTTGGTGTCGTAGGGAAGGAAGTGTCCGTCCTCGGGGATCATGACGAGGTCGAGCTCGGGCTCGTCCGCAGGGGCATCTCTAGGGCGCCAGCAGAAATGGATGAAATCTGCAAGATGAAATGGTCAGCTTGTGTCACGAAAAGAAGTCGGCTCCCACGGCGCTAGCTGGTATTCATGGTCCACATACCATCGTCGGAGTAAAGGTAGATGTAGCCGGGCCTAGCTTGGGGCGTGACCTTGTACGGCTTCGACGTTTGCTGTGAATCTGGATGTTAGTTTCGTTGCAATAACCACACTAGTCGGCGAGAACAGGCGACAAAGTGGCCGAGAAGACTGGATGTCATGACGGGCGGGGGAAGCTGGGAGGAAGGGTGGTACGAACATCTACGTCGCAAATGCCCGCCTTGAACGTAATAATGGGTGATATCGGCATGGTTGATGCGCGCGCTGGTGTCGACTGTGGGAAACGTGTGTGGCTAGGTGGAAGTGTCGAAGCCGGCAAGGGGATGTCAGGACAGAGTAGAAACAGTCGGCTCGATGAAGCTTGGATTTCGTGGTTGATGATGTTGCTGCTTCGAGGTACGATAGAGGCAATCCGCAATGTGAGCTCGGCACCTGGAGCTAGAGGCACTGGTGCAAGGCTACAGTTGCTCTGACGTGGGCTGCCGATGCCGCTGAGGTGCCGTCACCAGGACAGCTGCTGGCCGGCATCCCCCACCCTCCCCCTCGCCATCCCGTCCCTTCTGTGCCTCCAGGGCAACTTTGACGGCAGATGGCGTTCGCCCTGTAGCCTCCACCTAATACTGTACCTCTAGGACTAGAGGTACCTACCTAGTCCAGAGGGTCTCCAATCGCTGTCCCTCCGCTTCCCGTCTCCTAGCAAACGAAAGCCCCCGGCTTGGAGTTGGAGAAGTTGCAGGCTAGGTGGTGGAGTGCTTCGTACGGGATCGACGTCGTTGCTGCCACTTCGGTTCTCACTTTCCTTTCCACGGTTGCGCACGACCAAGAGTGTCGCCAGTTGCCTTGCCACGATTGCCAGTCGTGACTGAGACCCGAAGCTGTCTAAAATGCTGCTGGAGTGACCAAAGCCAGCGGACAGGAATTGCCTGCACCGTTTCAGATTACATTGACCCATGTCAGCAGCCACTGGGGTTTCTGGCACGGCGCTGCACTGAACCCCTTTTCCCATTTCTGGCCACTGCATTTGCAGTTTGCGCCTCGTCTTCTTTCCAGAAGCCCAATTTTTCCTCGTCCCCTAAATTCCCCCATCCCGCTCGAGTTGCCAATGCCCCTGGCCGCCCCTCGACCCCGACTCGATTGAGTGGCCGACTAAAAAAGTGTCCAGGACAACACCGACACCGGCTTCGACAACCTTTATTCGGCCGACGAATATATACGCGCAGCTCTCATTATCGCGTACGAAGCTAGGAGCAACAGCGCTTCATACAGTGCTATAGCGAAACAGTGCTATAGCGTTGTCGTTTATCCCCACAACCGAAAGAGACCACAGCCATACACGAGAAGCCAACCACGGACGACGGGAACGCGCGCGCCTTCGAACCCAGACGACTATATGATTACTTCTCTTTGATAGATCCTCCACGCATCCCATGGCGCGTCCATTGGGGCCGGTTCGTCTTAAGAGGACGAGCCCGGGAACGATCGCTGTTGGCATCGTCCTCGTAATCGTCATCCTCTACCTTCTAGTATCCCCCTCAGCTCCCGACTTCTCTGCCGCTCGCAAGGCCACAGCCGCGTTGCATCCTCTCTCTCCGCCGACATCACCTTTCCGCAAGTCAAGCGCTGTCGGCGGCAAAGCAGGTCCTCCACCAGTAACACGCTACAACCTCAACAATGTCACCATTACAAACGACCCCGTTGGCAACCGCGAGAACGTCCTTGTCCTTACGCCCATGGCCCGCTTCTACCAGGAGTACTGGGATAACCTGTTGAAGCTGTCGTATCCCCACGAGCTGATCACACTGGGCTTTATTCTGCCCAAGACCAAGGAGGGTAACGCGGCCACCGTTGAGCTCCAGAAGCAGATCGCAAAGATCCAGAAGCATGGACTTGAGAAGGAGAGGTTTAAGAGCATCATCATCCTACGACAAGACTTCGACCCGCCCATCCCGTCCCAGGATGAGAGCGAGCGCCACAAGATGGCAAATCAGAAGGCACGCCGGGCTGCCATGGCCAAAGCCCGCAACTCGCTCCTCTTTACGACTCTCGGGCCCGACACATCGTGGGTGTTGTGGTTGGACGCCGACATCATCGAGACACCTCCTACTCTCATCCAGGATCTTGCCAGCCATAGCAAGCCGCTCACGGTGCCCAACTGCTTCCAGCGGTTTTACAACGCGGAAAAGAAGGCCATGGACGAGCGGCCCTATGACTTCAACAACTGGCAGGACAGCCCGACCGCGCAAGAGCTGGCTTCCAAGATGGGCAAGGACGACATTCTCCTCGAAGGGTACGCCGACATGGCAACCTACCGGGCCCTAATGGCTTACATGTATGAGGCGGGTGCGGATATACACACCGAAGTGCCTTTGGATGGCGTAGGCGGTACGGCGTTGCTGGTGAAGGCCGAGGTGCACCGTGACGGAGCCATGTTCCCCGCGTTCCCCTTTTACCACTTGATCGAGACGGAAGGCTTTGCCAAAATGGCCAAAAGACTGGGCTGGCAAGCAACTGGTTTGCCCAATTACAAGGTGCGTCTTGTGTGTGCTGTGCGCCATGTCAAGGTGGGATACGTCGGACTAACGCTGAAACATCAGGTTTATCATTACAACGAGTGAAACATTTGCCGGTATTGATTTTTACACCGCGCATCCCAAGCCGCCACTGGACGCGATGACAGTCTCTCCTTGACGATGACAGCATAGCGTCTGGGCCTTCAGAGATGACTACTCAACCTTTGCCCTATTCCTCATTCGTCTTCAAGCTGCCCATGGCCAAAGGCAAGAGTCTGGCTAGTAACAGTGGAATTTTCTGCCTTGGAGATGTTCAATTTCACAGCATCCAGAGTTGCTAGGCCCAGCAATTGTGGCGTTCTTCTAAGTTCTTGTAAATTTTTGATGAGTTTTGGGTTATGGGAAGGAATGTGGGCAGCGAAAAGTGCACAGCTGGAGGGCGCGGTTCAAATACACGTCTGATGTGTGATGCGCCAGACGCAACCTTGTGTGATGATTAAGGTTGTCTGCTTGTTGTCGAGAGCAGAGCTCTGAGCAACCAGGGCAGAGTGTCATATAACAAACCTTATTTGGTCAAGTTTTCAAAGACATACAGCGACGACTTTTGACGATATATACTAGACTATGGGCGAGGAAACATGGGGGACTCTTGAAGTTCATTTTTCCTAAACTAATAGCATAATGAAAAGTAAGGGGTTGCGGTTAGGTTTCTTGCTGGCATCAAGTACAGGTTGGTATATCGTTCCGTTCTGTTTCTTGTGACTAACAACCGTAGCCGCTCTCTAATACAGTAACCATGGGTCATCTCCGATGATTCAGTTTGGAGCGATGTCGCTTTCTTTTGTGTGTACATAGGAAGAAACCATGACCAGTCACTGCACAAGTGTCGAGTTGTTTTGCGTCTCTACAAGTTTATATATGGCAGCAACGTGGCTGTGACGAGTACCAATACCATTTGCCCCTGATATCTCAGCGTATATCTCAGGAATGATCTATACCAAGCCCACAGGCGTTGGCTGGCATCTTGGAAGATTCGCTACAACAGCAACGTAAGGTCTGGAAACATGCAATGCCATCTGTTGCCTGGAGGGAGTAGAGCCACATAACATACTCATAACTGCTCTTCGTATGTAAGGGGCTTCCACAGCCCGCTTGAGCTACTAGCCAAAATAAATCCAATAGTCTATCCCATCCCACCGCATTCCAATTCAGCCCTCCCCCCAATCTACAACACCCACCCTATACCCTCGCTTCATATTCCCACCTCCATCCATCCCATAGATTCTACACCTCCATCCCACATCCCCATCCCTACACTCTGCCCCAACTCTTTCACGACCCCTCATACCTCTCTTCCTCAACCCACAACTCCACCAGCCCTCTCGCCGCCACATGATCCCCTTGCCTTATAAGCGCCGCAACATCCACATTAAGCGGACTGTCAATGCCTGGGCAGCTCAACAACAGCCTGATGGCTCTCACGCACTCCAAAACGCTGTAAGCGGGCGTCCATGCTTCTTTGAGCAAGTCCAGACAGATCTCCCCCGTGGTAAGGGCTACGTTGGCGTGCACGATGGGGGTGATGAATTTGATGGTGGGTGGGTGGAGGGGGTAGGTCGGTGGGAGGGTGATGTGGAGGAGCCAGCGGCCTTCTGGAGATTTTGTATGTTACCGTTAACAATGGAGGCTCTTTTGGGAGAAAAGGGGAGGGGTGTGTGTGGCTGAGGGGACGAGGTAAACATGAAAAGGGAAAGGGGGATGGATGGATAAGAGGGAGGGAGGGGAAAAAAAAACCAAAGAAAAGAGACATACCATCATAACCACCACCTACCCCCTTCCCGTTAATCACGGCCTCCCAAACCAACAACTCATCGTCGTTGATGGGACCTAACCGCTCGACGCCCTTCTCTTCTTTGGACTCGACGTTGCTCCAGGTCGTAAGCTCTTTGATTAGGCGCTTGGATGCGCTGCGGTTAGACATTGTTTATGTATATATATGTACGTCTGTGTATGTGTGTATCCTTGTCTGTGGTGTATGTAACGTGTTCTCCCGTTTGTTTGTTCTGTAGCGCTTTTATGATCGTTGCGTGTCCTCTTAATTTAGCAGCAGGGATAATTCTTCTTCCTTGTTCAGCGTTTCCAACGGAGCTGCCCGATGGTGCCTTGATGTGATTCGACTCGTCTATTCAAGAGCAAGATAAACACGAACGAACGAGTTTAGTAGTCAAGCTTCGTCAATGCTATCGGCGGGTCGAGTCCTCAGTTGCGCCAGCGCCAATGCTAGTGGTCGGTCGTTCGGTACTCGGTAGTACGCTATAAAGTATAAATGATCCACAGAGGTAAACCCGCGTTTGAAAACTGAAAGCAGGTCGACGAGAAACGAGGGAGCCCTTTGGGGAATAGACTTGCGTATCCTCGTTGGAAATCGTGTCCGTGAAGTGGATCGTTCTCGCACCGCAGTTGCCGACTGTGGTGTCGCTAAATCGGTATAGCTCTGTCCGTGTGTAGAGCGACTCTTGGTGCACGGTCCTCGATGATCGATCTGTAACGGGTGGGCGAACCGTGATCAATACCAGTGTAGCTTGATCTCGTAAAAGAGCGTATCGTCGGTCGTGTAGGGCTCAGGTATTGTTTGTTGATGTCAAGGTGTCCAAAGTGCTGTGCCCACAGAGGTGTTGCTGCCAGTGCGGTTGATCGGGGTACCCCTGACGGGCCAGCTGCGCATCGGCGTTTCCGGCGGCTGTATCTACCGCTACGTGGCTCCGTAGATGCGGATCCTTAGTGGTTGAAACCCGTCTGGCGGCGTCACTATGGCGCGCTGAAACTCAAGAACCCTTTGTTTTGCTGAAGCCGAGGCTGAAGTGTTATTCGTTTCCTGGGACGGCAATCCATATTACCCCGATGGATGGACAAGAGCACGAAGACAGAAAGGCAGCGACATAAACAAAAGCGACGTTTTGAGCGCATGGTATCATGGTTTGAATTGCCTAATAATCGTGTTGCGTTTGAAGCTCACCTGATCAAAACCTTCCACCCTAAGTCGATCGTAGACATTTGCAATGATATGTCCATAGAATCACAAAAAGATTTGTCATCGTCCACCTTTGAATCATATGTCCCTTAACCACATCATTCCTCGAGAAAGAAACATCTCGTCCCCTAGACAAATTTCTGGTGTGACCGAGATTGCTATTGCTGCTCCCCTTCGTCTCGTGTTATCTTGTCCTTCGTGCTATCGTCAAAAAGAAAAACGCCCTAACCGTCAAGTCGAAAAACCCCCCGATAAATCTCATCTAGATCCCCAAAATTCCGTACTTAGCGCCACATTAAAACAGAAGGGCCTTGACACCCATGCTCCTAGCTAGTTTCGTCTGAAAATATCGTTAAGCCTCGCAATTTTCCTTTGATTTCCAGAACTGTACGAACCGGCCGAGCCGCTTGGTCTTGCTGGGTTTGACCTTCTTCTCCGATCCGTCATCAGTCGCCGTAACCTCCATCGAGAGCTTGCTGCGCTCACCATGCGAGCTGCTAACAAGACGGCTAAGGCTAGCAAGACTCGATCGCCTTCGACCAAAGGCAGAGGCACTGAACGAGGCAGGCCTAGGCAGCGTGTTGGAGGATAGCTGCCTAGCCTGAGGGTTCTGCGCAAAGAAGCTCTCACGAGTCATTGACGAGTCGCCGCTGGTCAATGATGGGACATCATCCACCGAGATCCGTACCTCTGGTCCGGGTTCGCCCATAAGCAGTGATTGAAAATTGTCCTCAGTGATGGATGAAGGTGCCGTCGAAATGCGATGGGCGTCGTAGGATAAGGGAGACCTGGGAGACGGGAAGGCTGATGACGGGGTCATCGAGTGAGGACTGACCGGTGCGCATGACACAGCAGCAGGCAAGGTCAAAGGACTGCAGTCAACTACAGCAAGGTCCTTGGGACGGAAGGTCTGCCTGGGCGAAGGAGTCGCAGACCCCGAGAAGCTGTGTCTAGCCTGTAGCTCATTCTGATATCCGCTGAAGCTAGGACGGGGAGAATCAGTGACGGATGTCTCTTGTCGAAGCGCATCCTGAGACCGCCTGCCCAGAGATCCTGTATAGATTGAAGACTTCAGGGAGGCGTTGCCATCCTCGTCGGTTTCTACTCCTGAAGGTACAGCACCAGATTCAGTTGCCGTTTCCCGTTGTTCATCAGCAGTGGACTTCGCGACATCCTTATCCTTTGCAGATGCTTTCGACTCCTCAAAAGTATCGGCCAGGGACGTCTCCATAACAGGGGTTGACTGTCCAGTAGACTTGGGCGACTCATCCTCGTCTTCCTCTTCGTCCTCCTCAAAAACATCAGCCATGGTCGAGCTGCTCCCGAACCGAGGGAAGCCGAAACGACCACCTTCGAAAGGTACCAATTCAGGTGCACTCTCAGCACGTCTGTGATAATGCATTCCAGGGCCGGTAAAGCCCCTCAAACCCGCAGCGCTGTGCAATTGTTTTTTTACAGTACCTCCCGCTCTCTGGGCCGCCTCCCATTCTGGGTTGCGAGGGAGGGGCGTATTGAACGGTCCCAATGCTGCGTCCAAATCAATCATTTGGTATGACGTCTCTTCGTCAGGAAGGGATGCAGGCTTGTATGAATCCCAGTCCTTCGCAGTGGGGTCGATTGATTCCGTCACCAGAACTGTAGGCATAACTGCCTCCGGTTCAAAGAGCACGTCAACAGCTGATTCGTTCACACTATAGGAACGTCGAGAAGTAGACGTAGGGGTTCGCTTCAATCCCTTGCCGTGTCGCGATTTTTTGCTTTGCTTCCGAGACAAAATGGACCCGGCCCACGTCTTGACCTTCTTCTTTTTCTTGCTTCTCTTCTTCGTGAGTGGCTTCATCTCCGCCAGCTCTTCAGGAAATCCCTGGGGCGAATGACCGGGAAAGCGCTGCGGAGTGGCCTTTACTGATGTCGACAGCTTGGGCGATTCCGAAGGCCTAGTAGGAGATGAAGCTGAGGAGCTATCCTTGCCGAAGAAAGACCACTTTTTGGAGGACTTGATAGGGCTGGGAGTCGCCGACGTATATGCTGAAGGCGGCGGAATCGAACCAAGAAGGGGAATGGAACCACGGCG